GCCTCGCTGCGTGGAAATGAATGGAGAGCGAGCGACGTCGCCTCCCGTGTGTCGAACCCTTCACACATGCCGCGGCGTGCTCCTTCTGCAGCAGGCAGTGTGGTCGGTTGGCATCCGACCGGAGGATGCGCCGTCACGTAAATATGTAAACAGTTAGGCGCATATTTTCACACACCCGAACCAGGTCTGGATAAGTTTTTTCCCCCTTCTTCATTTGCGCTCTCAGCCACGCTGCTTCCCTCTTTCTCTGTTTTGACTCCAGCTGGTTAAGTCATCAAAAAGAATTGCGCGGTTGGCCGGTAGACTACAGATCTCTATCATAGGACAAATTTATATAGTTTCTACCGTATATCGTTTATATCGCGCATTCCTAGTGTCTGGGCTCTCCCTTAGAGATAGGGTGAGAAGTTTGGTCATCCTGGAGGGACTCAGAGTKCAGCCGCTGCTCCTCCACGTCGAGAGGAGCCAGTTGAGGTGGCTCGGGCATCTGGTTAGGATGCCTCCTGGACGTCTCCCTGGTGACGTGTTGAGYCAAGTCCCACTGGGAAGAGACCCAGAAGAAGACCCAAGACACGCTGGAGGGACTATGTTTCTCAGCTGGCCTGGGAACGCCTTGGGATTCCCCCAGAGGAAGCATTTTTTGACTGATGTGACATATAATCCAAAGCAACTAACTGAAAAACAGAACAATGATGTTCACCAGTGCTTTGAATAAAATGTTCAGGATTTTTTTGTGCAAGCCTTTAACCAAGTAGACAGACAATAGCTCTTTCAGCTTGTGTATTTGTGTTTTTTGTAAAAAAAAAAAAAGGAATAAGACTGAGCTTCACTGCAGTCTTCTTGCTGACACAGATGTCTAGTTATCCATTACAATACAAACTCCTCTGACCCTCGAGGGTCTTCCAGCACCTGTCAGTTTACAGCTGACTGAAGAATCTGTGTGTATGGTGAATTTGTGTGGATAAATTAATAAATGGTAATTTACCGCTGTTACCTGGATTTTCCGGGACTCTTCCTCTGTGGCAGTGGCGTGATATGACAAGACCTAAAATACAAATGCAGAAAAAGATGAGATCAGATATTGTGTAAACAACTCCCAGACATGAAGATGTTTGTTAAACTTGTATCTCATGAGCTGATGATTCAGTATTTTAGGAACATTTGTGACTTTTCACAGTGAGTGTTTGTCACCATATGACCAGCATGAAGGTGGCAACATTTTGAGTCACCTTTTTTAATATCGCCACCTATTTTAGTGTACACAGCTTGCAAAACAAAAGTTATGTATGTAACTACGGTTCTATGAATCCCGAATGACCGCCAGAGGGCGGTGCTGAAAGCAATGAATGTTCCCTTGGCGCATGCGTTGTTCCAGTAATTAATATCAACAAAGTCACAGCTGTAACCCATTGGATGATCACCTTGAACCGATACAGGCAGGTAACATCTGGGGCTCTGCTCCTACAGAATCTTCTCGTGAAATGCGAGGATTCTAGGTGACAGAGAYGCTCTGGCGGTCATTCGGGATTCATAGAACCGTAGTTACATACATAAATTTCATTCTATTTCATCCCTGCTGACCGCCAGAGGGCGGTGCTGAAAGCACTGAATGACTAATACCAACGATGTCACARGGAATCCTGAGCACATACCTCACTGAGGAAGCCCAGAGGACCCTTGAAGAAGCACCTGGCCCAGAGGATGAGATGCAGCCACATTGACATTATAGAATCTGGTAAATGTGCTCGGTGAGGTCCAGGACGCCACAGCACATATCACCTCCAGCGGAACTCCTCTCATAGCTGCCCAGGAAGCTGAAATGCTCCTGGTAGAGTGTGCCTTCATGCTGGCTGGCAGGGAGCAGCCTCCAGCCCTGTAAGCGTGGAAGATGACATCCACAATCCAATGGGAGAGACGCTGCTRGGAAAGAGGATGGCCCAACTTGGGGCCTCCATAACACAGAAACAGCTGGTCTGAGCGTCTCACACCTGCAGTAGCCTCAACGTATGCCTGCAGTACTCTCACAGGGCACAACTCAGGCTCCTCCCCAGCCGTCCCTGATGTAGGCTGAAACCGTGCCAAACTCAATGGCTGGTTAAAATGAGAATGGGACAAGACCTTAGGCAGAAATGCAGTGTTTGGCCACAAAGTAACACCAGAGCCATCTGATTCCCATCTGAGGCATGAGGGACTAACAGAAAGAGCGTGTAGCTCACCAACCCTCTTAGCTGAGACACTTGCCAACAGGAAAGCAGACTTACATGAGAGCCACTTGAGGCTAGARTGCACTAGAGGCTCAAACGGAGGGCGGCAGAGGGCTTCTAGCACCAAGGGCAAATCCCAAACTGGGGCCRGTGGTCTTGCTGGTGGAAAGGCCAGAAGGGTGGAAAGTGCCTGGTCTAGGGCTTGGGATTTCACTGGGTCCATAACTATAGTCATCCTGACCCAGCGGGAGATATGAGGCCGCCGTTGGAACTGTAGCCGGTAACCATGAGTCAAAGAGGCAACCACCAACGGATCTACAGCATAAGCAGCCCATTGACTGAGCTGCTGATGGGGAAAAACATCAGACGGTCAGCCTTGTGGTATCATCTCCTACCCGCTCGGCCCCTAGGGGCCCTGGCGGGGGGGGGCAGAGTCTGTGGCCTGGGCCTGCCTGACTGGGTGGTGGGCTGATCCACGAAACCCTCTGCTGGGTCCTCGCTGTGCAGCCTGAAAATAAGAACCACGGGACCAATTACCACCCTGGGACGARGGCCGAACATTGGGGCCAGTCAGCAGTTGTCTCTGCTGTCTAGGTGGGGGAGGAGGCATCGCCTTACTAAAGCCTGAAACATACTCGCTCCGACGCCGARGGGTCGACYTGCGGTCATGTGGTTGATCAGCAGTCGTTTTCGCACAGACTTTTCATAGTCACTGAGACACCCCGCGCCGAGCTCGGGAAACCCCCCTCCCACTGAACCATACGTCACTGCATGGAATTTCCCCCCGCAACAGCTAACAACCATTGCAGAAAAAAAGACGTCACTCACRCAACGTATTTGTTCACATCTGTTCTGGTTTAGCTCCACAGTTTTTATCAGTCAGATTCCTCCGTGCACAACGTCTGTTTTATCTCCATTCATGAGTTTTTCACGGTATGACTATCTTTATAAAACTCTACTTCCTGGTGTCAGCTCTGGGAGCGAGTCTGGTTTTTTTTTCCCATTTCTTTTTTTTACCGAGTGCAGTAGCGCATTCAGCACAAACAAACAAGCAAAAAGTTTTTCACTGTTTGACTATCTTATAAAAGCCTGTTTTCTAGTCTGGGAGCGAGTCGTCCCCCCCTCTAATGTCAACTCTGCACGACAAGTCAACTCTACACATTGACATTTGTCAGTGTGCCCCAGGGTACCTGTGGCTACAATGTAGCTTACCATCAGTGTGTAAATGTGTGTGTGCATGGGTGAATGTCTGAAGTGTAAAGTGCCTTGGGGTCCAAATGGACTTGATAAGGCGCTATATAAGTTCAAGCCATTTACCATTTTTTTACCATTTATTGACATGTCAGCTCTGCACATCCACATGTCAAKAAAAATGTGTGAGATTGTTCCGAGTGTTGACTGTGTTATTTAGGTGCTTTGGAATTTCCTTCTGCTAAATTCTTCAGTGTGCAAGCACTTTAGAATTAAAGGACTCAAACATTTGCATTAGTGCTTTGGGGCTAGTGCAACTAATTTTAGATTAGTGCTGCACACTACTGCTTGTAATAAATGTTTTTGTCAGCACCTTCAATATTGTTTGCAATACTTCCAACAACCAAATAATTTCCATAGAGTCCCATGATCAACATAATCAAATGCTTTCCCATTGTGTTAGTCATAGTTTCACCAAACCAGTAGTACAAATATCAAGACTGAAATCTGAAGTTTCAGTTTTTGTTGCTTTGTAAATATATTTGTTATCTTTCAAATACAAGTAAAGGTGTTTTATACCAGTGTTTCCCAAAGTTGGGGTCGGGACCCAAAGTGGGGTACCAAAACATCAAGGTGGGGTCCTGAAAAGATTTTCTGAATTAGTTACATTTTTGCCTTATTTGTTACAAATGATTGAGGTTAGTATATTTAAAATGGATAAATGTAGTATAAAAATAGTTACTATGCCCATCTTTAGTTGACCTGATACAAATGTTTATCATCCAAAAATAGTTGGGGGCACAGGTCTCTGCTACTGTTATTTTGTGGGTCAAAAGCTGAAACGTTCGGGAACCACTGCACTTTGGTTCCCAAAGTTGGGCTTGAGACCCAATATGGGTCATGAAGCACCTTGAATAATCACCAGAAATCAATTTAAAGGGTAATAAAATAATTGCTGATGTAATATTTTCCCTATAATTATTACAGAAACACAAAATAAGTAAAAAATAAGTATTTCTTTTTGTGTACAAGCTGTTTAGATAGTCCAAAAAACTGTGTTTTAGGGTTATTAACGAAGCTCATGTACTCAGACCAGTAATATTTGGGGTCACAAGTTTTGGCCATGGATATTTTGTGGGTCAGAAGATCAAAAGTTTGGGAACCACTATTTTAGAGCATCATCAGCAAACGACAGACCAGGTTTTGTACCTGACACAGAGCCAAGTTATATTTAAGCTGTTACTTTATATTTATATAGACTGTGTGTGTGTGTGTGTGTGTGTGTGTGTGTGTGTGTGTGTG